AGTACTTGATTAGTGGGTTGTCTTCTGATAGACTTGGGTTTCTGATTTGCTGTTGTTTCCTCTGCTGATGAGGATATCCAGGAAGGGTAGCGGGTTGTTGTTTTCTTCCTTTTTGGTGAATTTTATTCCTTTAAAGATCTTGTTGACAGTTTCATGTGTCTTCTCTAGTTGTTCCTTTTTTATTACAACAAAGGTGTCATCTACATATCGGATCTGTACTTTAGGTTGTATGTGTGGAAGTGCTCTAGTTTCTAGACATTGCATTACAGTCTCTGCTATGAGTTCTGACAGCGGTGATCCCATTGTGTGTGCCTCTGATCATCACCCAGATGTGCCTGTGATCATCACCCAGATAAGCAGAGATTAACACCAAGATTATCACCAGACATACAATCAAGCAGTAAACAATATCCTAATCAAGGAACTATCAAGGAAAATTTCAGAGGGAAAATAATAAAACAAAACAAAACCCATACCCCTCCCAACACTGGCAGGGTATGCCACTGTATATAAACAGAGAGTAAACTCCACTCCATTCTAGCACTGAAAATGTTATCTAGCTGGGTAATGAAACGTTTTCAAGAAAACAACCAAGCTCAGAGAACCCCAAGGACTCCACATATTTATACTTCTCTATTTAGTAGTTGATAATTTCAAGGCCATATGTGTTTGTCTACAACATGCTGAAGAGATTGATGGAAAGAAATGAGAGCAATTATGCTTTAAGCAAAATTAAAACTTAATATAAAGACACCAAGACCCAGTTTATTTAAAATGTCTGCTTTATTTTTATTACCAGAAAACTGTCTTCTTAAAGTTAGTCTTGTACAATGATAGGAGTTACATTTATGTTGCCCTGTATGTGCTATTTATTGTCCATTCTCACAGCTGGAAAAAAGCCCACTGAAATTTTTTAGAGGTTGGGTTTTCATCTTCTGCGTAATTTGAATTTGATGTTCTTTACCTACATTATAACTTATGCTCACCAGGCTTCGTAAGAAGCATTTCAAGGTCCTGGAGTGGCCTAGCCA